CGAAGTTGTTTCTGGATACAACAAACTTTGAGGACGAAGTCTATTTCAAGTGTGGATGAATTTTCACAACCGTCAATTGAGGTATTAATTATTAATTATTTCATAAATTATTGTTGGGCCAAATGTGGATAAAAGGACTTTTGGTTTGGACTTAAGCAAATGGGCCAAGGATTTGGGACGCCCATAAGGCGTACGTTGAGCATAGCCTTGGCGTACGCAGGGCGTAGAGGCGTGCATTGGATGCGGGAGGCGCGCACACGTATGCGCATCGTCCCAGGAGTACGTGCAACGTATGTGAGCAGATGCCAAAACCCTAATTTTTAGGGTTTAATACATATATATACACCATTATAGCCACCCTCCTGGCCTCCTTACCAGCCCGTCATCCTCAGAAAATCCTAATTCGCCTCATACTCCATTGTTGTATGTGTTTGACCTTTTTGAGCTCATTTTGGTGAAGACAATCTTGGAAGAAGTGAAGAGAAACTGGAGGGGAAAAACTTGAGTATCTTGAGCTCAAGGATCTAGAACTATTTCATCTTTTGGAACTCAAAGGAGGTATAAAGCTTCTAACTTTCCTCTTAGAGTTCTACATCTATGATTTTGGAGTTTTGGACCTTTTTAGGTCCAAAGGATGGACCTTTATCATGCAACTTTGTTTTTGAGCTTAGGGTTGCCACCCTTGGAGCTCAAAACATTCCTTTAGGAGTAAAGTTTCAATCTTTGGGGCTTCTATGGAACCATGCATGAGATCTAGCCATTTCTATGGAGTTAGTTGCTATTATTCTATGTTTGGGCTCATTTGGTGGGTTGCAAGCCACCAAGTGATGAACTTTATGGATTAGGACGTTCAAAAGGACTTGGATCTGTAGTTATAGCCTCTAGAATTGAGTATTAAGTGCTTAATGGGAAAGGTAGCTTAACAGGGTAGTACGCTGGGCGTACCAGCTAGTACACGCAGCGTACAAGCCATGCAATAGATATGTGCTGTGTATAGAGAAGTACGCCCTGCATACTCAACAATATTGGGCTTCAACCTTTTTGGGCCCCAATTTGGGCCAACTATTGGACTTATCAGCTATTGGGCCTTACTGGCCATCAAAAGTCAGATAATTTGGGCTAAGACTATATTTGGGATTAGGGAAAGGCCCATTTGAAAAGTTGGGCCCAATTTAGAAAAGGGACATTAGTGGGCCTTTAATGGGCCATTTGTAGGCTTAGAAAGATTAACTGTATTTGGGCCTTGTTTATGGTCCAAAAATCAAAGCAGGGGTAAAATGGTCAATTTACCCCTAGAAATATTCTCAGTTGTCTGACTAAGTATTAGTGTATAGAGTTAGCCGGGAGTCGTGGGAGCAGCTAGCAGATATTCCTCATACCCGAGTTCAGCATTCAGTTTGAGAGGTCGGCTCGTTTATGTGTGATTATATGTGTTGGGGTTAGCCCGATGTATTTTTTTGTTTTGGACTTCGGTCTGATGTCGGGCGGGGTCCGATGCAGTTAGTATTCTTGATGTCTTCGTGATTCTTGCATGTGTATGATTTTGTGTTTCGGAATTCGGTCCGATGTCGGGGCAAGCCCGAGAAATGTTAGCTTTCTTATTATGCTTATGTCTATGTTTATGATTATGTCATCTTCATGATATGTATACCGGACTTCGGTCTTATGCCGGGCGAAGCCCAAGTTATGACGGACCTCGGTCCGCTGCCGGGCGAGGCCCAATGTCGGACTCGTCCGATGCCGGGCAGGGCCTAATGTAGTGGGCTAGGCCTAGTATGTGATTATCTATATAGTATGTGGTAGCTTTGGGAGACTCACTGAACTTTGTGCTTATAGTTTTTAGTTTTGGTTTCAGGTACTTCCATAAGCCAAGGGAAGGGCTCGGGATGATTGCATTGCACACACCACAGCTTCAGCCTGGAATTGTTTGAGACTCTGATATTTTTATCGTATGGTTTTGTCTCAGTATTTGATATGATGTTTTGAGATACATGAAACATGGTTTTCTTTATGATTATGGATGAATTATGGTTTTATAATAAGTTTCAAAAAGAAATTTTTGACTTGTGTTTTTGGGATGTTTCAAATGTACCTCCGTTATGTAATGTAAGACAAAGTTGTATTCTTTTCATTTATTTATCATACCTTTATGTTAATGAAACGTGTATTCTTTTCATTTTTTAATGGTGTATGATCTGGTGCAATTAAATGAATACATGACAAAAAAAGGCAATTTGGTCATTTCTTATGGCTGTTACCGAAACTCCACTGTTCAATACAACTTTACAAAACTACCTTTCAATTTCTTTCATTTATTTATAAATCCCTTTAAATGCAAATAAAGCAATGTACTTTTGTAAAATTGCATGATTGACCTTTTTGTTCATTTTTAATTCTGCCAAATGATATCAAAGAAAAAATGGTCAAATTTACCACTCATCCAAAATGTCTAAAATTGTCATTTTTTTGTATAATAACTTAACTAGGAAACAATTTCATTTTTGCATGTTGTTGTTCATGTTGTACTTATAAAATTCAAGTATAGATGGACTTTGACCCTTATTAATTTTTTGAGTTTAAAAAAATGGTGTTTATATATATATATATATATATATATATATATATATATATACTTATAAGATTTTAGTAAATGTTTCTATTCTTTTAATTGTTCTATTTCAAGCACAAATTGTCGTCGATTCATGTTTGATACACTTTATCTAGTTAGTCATTCAATTTTTTTTATTGTTTTTTTTAATTGTATGATAAGAAGTCCAAAAGGTGCACTTTAAAGTTGAAAGCTATAGTTTTCATTTATCAATAGGAAACAGTTTTGGTTTGGATTTTCAGCTTTAAAATGGAATATAAGAATACTGGGACAAATTTAACTACAAAATGGCAATATGGTCTTTTTTTTTGGGGGGGGGGGGGGGGTGGATGCAAAAAATGGTACTGACCCTAGCAACGATTTATGTCCCATTCTAGAGGGTATATGAGTCGACTAGAAGGATCCCTTCAGTGGCAACATTAACAAATTGTTTTGTACATGTTGACATCACTCCAACTATTATATGATAATAATAGGCCCCATTACATACATACAAACAAATAATAATTATTGTAACCATAAACAAATGTAACTTAAAGTCACAGTATTTGGTTTTTTTCAAAGCCAATTCATCAAATTTGGACACACGTAATAAAAGGCACATGACCATACACACTAAAAGTAACTTTTTGAAATAATATTATCAAGATTTGATTATTGTAGAAGATATATGTGAGAAGCAGAAATACATTATTAAGTCACCAGTGAATACTTACAGCAAAAAAATTTCATTTTATGAAGACTATTCTTTAAATTTACACATACAATAGTACAACCATAATGAACATTACATAATTATAGTAACATATTCAATGAACTCCCCATAATTATACTGATAAGACATTATTGTTCTTTTATAACTATATTTACATATAGACACATATAATAATTGTAATCATAACTAAATGCTACCTACACTCACATTATTTGTTTCTTCTCAAAGTCAATTCATCATATTTTGGCACACATAATAAAAGGTACATGACCATAAACAACCAATATTAACTTGTTTTCTTGCATTTACTAAGTACAACTAGTATGGAACCGCCCTATGGACACACAAATATTTAGTGTGACCATATGTATCACCTTTTAGCTAATTTGTCTGTTATGCATCTAAAAAGGCACCATGTTATAGACACACAGACAATTACCTAATGTCACAATACATTTATATATTGTCTCTTATAAAAAATTATGACAATCTTAATCGATACATGTGGCTGACCTATGGCCTCAATGTTCGAGTGTGGCTAATATTTGTCACATTTGGTAATACCCCAATGAGGGTGTAGGCCTCGCCCATCGCCCAATACTAAAAGATACATGTGGCCGATTGTGACCTGTGGTAATAACCCTATCCCAATACTAAAAGCACCTGTGGAGGCCTCGCCCATCGCGAAGACGAGTTTCCTTTTGGCAATAACCCAACGAGCGTCGGAGATAATACCATCCTTACTGTGTTCAACCATCTCTGTGTGGCCATAACAGGCAACAGAGGAGGGAGCAACAGTCGAGATCGGCTGGGGAGCCAAGTGCGACTCTTCAACTAACTCCGACAAACCTTCTACTGCCGGCGGTATGAAAGTAACCGCAGTCAAGGCAACACGATCAACCCGACGAGGCGAAGGAAGAGTCTAGACCAAATCAGTCTCTCGATGCTCCAATTTCCCCTAATAATCCCTCTGCAAAACCTCATCCATGGAAAATGAGCTCTCCATGGTAAAGGTTGAATTGTGATACTCAAATAAAAGTTTTAGAATAAGGGAGGAGGTTTTTGGAATAACAAATTGTCCTTTGTACAACAACTTCCCTTATTTATATAATAATAATAATAATAATAATAATAATAATAATTAAATAAATAAAATTTAATATGAAAGGTCAAAGTAGTCATTTCACAAGGATTTAATGGACTAACACTCACTGTATCAAACGAGGGACCAAAACCACAACATAACCCTTGGAAAATGACATTTATTGCAAAAATGAAACATTTTGGACCCAATCCAAAGAAAACAACAAAACAAAGGGACTATATTTGCAGTTTTCTATAGCAAATAACAAAAACTTCTCTTACCTATAAATAGTAAATGATAACCTGTCATTTTTTTCTAGCCACATTGCTAGTTAAGTTTCATGGCCTTGTAGTAACATAGTGAAGTTAGGTGGCCAATATGTAAAATATGGTAACATAATGGTAGCTTAGGTCTTATCATACATAAATATTATGACCTTATACATTAGATGCTTATATGGTTAGAAGTGTAAATACGATATGGTTTTGATGTGAAGAACTTAATTCATAACAATAGTATGGTACATATTTGATTTCCTCTTTGGATAAATTAAATTTTCCAAATCTTGTTTGTTAAATTTCAGGCTAGAGACAATGTTCATTGAAGAAATCGTGAAGTACATCCACCGTAGATTACATGTACCATTAAGGATTTCTCAGCCATTACTCATTGAGATGGAATATCATATCCACTTTGTTTCTTCCTGGTTGAACGATAGTTCCTCACATATAGCAGACATAGTCACTATTTTTGGTATCGGTGGGATTGGGAAGACATCTTTAACCAAACATGTCTATGGGTTATATTCTCATGAATTCCAAACAAGTAGCTTTATTGAAGATATCGCAAGGAAATGTGATGGAAAGTTTAATGGGTTGCTTGATTTACAAAATCAACTCTACAATGACATTTCAAAAACATGTTCAATTAGAGTTCATGATATAGTGATATACACCACACAGATAGAGCATGCACTTGCCCGTAAAAGGGTCTTTCTAGTCCTTAATGATATCGCCACTCTTGATCAGTTGGATGCGTTACTTGGAAGCAAGGTTTTCATCGTGGAAGCAAAATTATAATCACAACAAGAAATAGATGGTTGACTGAGAGTTGTGCACTATTCAAAAGAAACATTAAACCGAAGAATGAAAGACTTTTTCTTTTTGGCTTAGATGAGATCCAATCACAACAACTTTTGTGTTTTCATGCATTCATGTGCAACTATCCCAAGAAAGGTTATGAAGAGATGTCATATAAGCTTGTGAAATATTGTTAAGGAAATACATTGGATCTTGTAGTTTTGGGCAAGTCTCTATATAATAGAGGTGTAGCATATTGAGAAGGGTGCATAGACGGGCTAAAGAAAGAAACAAGTTCTCGTGTAAATAATGTCTTGAGAATTAGCTTTGATTCTTTGCCATCCAACAATGATAAGGAGTTGTTTAAATATATTTCTTGTTTTTTTGTCGGAATAGATAGAGATGTTAGTGAAATAATATTAATGGCATGTGATATAATCACAAGATCTGGAATCATGAATCTCATTGATAGATATCTTCTTAGTATAGGATCGAATAATGAATTGAAGATGCATCAGTTGGTTCAAGAGATGGGAAGATTCGAAGTACATCAAGAATCATTTAACAAGACATGGAAGCAAAGTAGAATATGGTGTCATAATGAGTCATTCAGAGTGTTGAAACAAAAAAAAGGTGAGAGTTAATATATACTTGTTGGTAGTGTGCATATTCAAATTACTTTGTATTATCTCATTATTGTTTTTCGCCATTTGTTTCTTCTTAGGGTAAGGGAAATGTTCTAGGCCTTTCCCTTAACATGCACATGCTCGAGAAAGAGTAGTTCGGAGCATCATTTGAGCTAAAAACAGATGCTTTGAGTAACATGGATAGTCTGATGCTACTGCAAATGAATTATGTGCACATGAATGGGTCTTATGAGAACTTTCCAGATGAATTAAGAGGCTTGTGTATGCATGGTTTTCGTTTAAAGTCTATACCTTTAGAGCTACCAATGATGAATTTGGTTGCTCTTGACTTGTCATATAGCTATATTGAATCATTTGTTGGTTATTATAGCAATACACATCGACTTGAGAAGAGGCAAAAGGTAACTTATCTTCATTCATTATTCATCAATGTTCAGTCAATGATAATTGAAATCTGTTCTAATTTATTTTCGCTTTTTGTAGTTGGATGGATCGTACTTAAAAGCCAACAAGTTGCTTGGATCATTGAAGATTATTAATTTAAATTTTTGTAAACAACTGCATAGTCTTGGTGACTTTGACCAACTCCCTGCACTCGAGAGGTTAATAGTTAGAAATTGCATTGGTTTGGTTGAGGTTGGTGAATCAATTGAGAAATGTGTTGAACTTGTCTTCGTTGATCTGAGCAACTGCAAGAAGCTTGAAAAACTTCCAAGAAACATAGGCATGTTGAAGAATGTTAAAACATTGTTGCTTGATGGCTATAATCTCGGTGATTCTCAAGTCGAGGGTAGGGATATGGTTATAAACATACGAACCTCTTCCTCTTACTTTATGGGTGCTATAACAAGTGATTTGAAGTTGTTTACAATTTCTTTACCAAGATCTTTAGTAAGGTTGTCACTGGTAAATAATAATTTGTCCACAGATTGCTTTCCCATGGATTTTAGTTGCCTGTCCATGTTAAAGGAATTATATTTGGATTACAATCCTATAAATTCCATGCCCAGTTGTATGAGAACCATTCCTAGGCTTGAGATACTTAGTATGGCCAGTTGTAAAAAATTGAAATCAGTTGAGCATCCTCCACATACACTAAGTAGGTTGTTGCTCTTTTCTCATCTTGGGAGTTTTGTAAGGAAAGTTGAATTTCATCCAGAAATGTCCTCACTAGAGTTATCATCAAACTGGTGGTTAGATTTCACACATGGGTCCTGTGAAATCGAAGGCATGATCAAAATCCAAGCAATAAGTGTTGAGGAAAAGGTATTACGGAGCTTGGGTTGGATTAATGTAGACTTGCTTAACAAAGGGTGTGTGGGAACCAATCCTTCGGAATCAAAAGTCCAGGTTTTGTTCGATTAACTGTCTGTCTTTATGTTAATATATATAATATATTTGTTATGTCTGTATTTAATTAAGGTGGTTGTATTTTGCAGAGAATGTTTTATGAATTTGGAATATTTAGCACAAAGTATGAGGTGGAGGAGATGCCGAGATGGTTTAAGTATAGAAGCTTGAGGCCATCAATATCATTTACCATTCCATCATCATCTCCAAACAACCTTACTGGACTCTACGTCTGTTAATTGCACACATTGAAACCTCCTGATGAATCGTTATTATTTCCACATGATCAGTTCCCTAGTACGCCAATTACGACAATTCGTAATATAACAAAGAACCACACATGGATATACGAATGTCACTTGGATGGAGTTATTATAGATGGAAAGTGTTGGGTGATGTTAAGTCATTGGATGTTTCGGATGAATGAGATGGAGGCTGGTGACCATGTTACTATTACTGTTATAGCGCCATATGATGAACTTGTAAAGGAGTGTGGGGTGAGTCTTGTGTATGAGGATGGAGAAGAAGAAGAAGAAGCATTGGGTTATTATAAGTCATGGAATCATATAATTGGTGGAGATCTCTCTCAGTTTCAAACAACTACAGGACAATACATCCTACAGAACAGGCGGTTTTTTGAGTTTGCCATCTATTTCTTTCCCTATCTTAATAAATTAATTCCAGATGACCCCAGATATCAAGGTATATGTGATTTTTGTTAAATATTTTCAGTGAGATATTATCTCTTCTCCATATCATCTTAAATTTGTTACACACAGCCACGACGTTCAAGTTAGATGTCATTTTTGTTAAATATATATAATAATGTCTTATGTATAATGTCACATCCATGACCCAATTTCTTTAAGATATTGGATGTCCCAATTTCTTTAAGATATTGGATAGTGACCCATTTTTCTTAATAGATGGATCATAACTTATATATTTAAAATATTGAATAGTATGACCCTAATACATCCATTTATTATTGATTTTATTGACCTATAAGATAAGAATTTGTTTTCATAAAATACAAAAATTAAAATTCGATTGTTAATTTTTAAATGAATCGAACCAAGTATTGATCCAGTCTAAATGGGTCAATTTGTTATGTCACATAAATAAATATATTTATGCTTCCAATACAACTTGTGTTCAGGACATAAGGCATTGTGTTGGTTTAGAGCTTTTTCTCAAAGGAATCCAGGCTTAATTGGTAGCACACATGTGGTATACTTTTTCTCACCCAAACTTTTCTAATATCACAGAATAAAAAGGCATACACAATCAAATATGTAATTATCCTATATGTGTATACTTATGTAACTTTATAATTTTCTAACTTTTCCTTTACTCATAGGGTAAGGGGGATTCTTCAAGATCTCATCCTTCACGTGAAACTGCTTGTGAAAGAGAGGTTTCATTTCTAAATTAATCGTATGAAACTCAATGAGTTATATCCTAATTTTCCAGAAGAATTAAGATGGTTTGCTCATTGTCGCATTTGGTGCCTATTTATGTTCATGTTTCTTTCTTCTTCTGTTTTTTTTTATTGTTGTTTGATTGCAAAAGATAGGTGAAAACAATATGAATAGTTTTTGAGTTTAGTTAATACACATGTAAGAATAAGATGTAAGTCGGCATCTTGTTTTCATTAGTTCGTATACATTTATATTTTGTTGATTTGGTTTGTGTGATTGAAGAAAAGACTAAAATGTAATTGTTGAATTGCCATAAATTCTCATGGTTTCGGTTAACAATTTTTTCGGTTAAGTTGGTTGTGGTCATTGGTTATTATTGATTAACCATAAAATTTGGAATTTATTAAAAAAGAAACGCCACAAAAAAATCTATATCTCTTTTTTCTCAACTAAATTAATCGGTAAATACGAATTTAGCTTGTTTTACTATTAAATATTCAATCCTAATAATAAAAAGTGTTGAAGTTTGTTAATGTATATTGTGCTTTAGTGATGATATTGTATTGTTTTTGGGATAATGTCATAACAACCCTTAAGATTTTCATGAATTTACGGAGCAAGCCACGTGTGCGTTGAATGGATTGATCAAGTTGACGCAGTTACATGTGCGCGCTGACTGTGCTTTATAATACAAAACTTGGAAGTCTTTTGGGACAATAAGGTGGGGGGATTCGAACCTCCTACCTCTAAATAAGAAAGAAAAGTGCACACCACTGGAAAGCTTTTTATGCTTCATATCCGAAAACATTAAATATAATGTATATTAATGAAAAAATTTACATATACAATTTTAATTATTATTATTATTATTATTTTCTTTTTTTTATAAGTATATATATATATATATATATATATATATATATATATATATATATATATATATATATATATATATTACAGTTTACAGGCATAATTATATTTATTAAAGTACAAAATACGTTTTTAAAGATTAAAAAATATTTAATGGTATATATATATATATATATATATATATATATATATATATATATAAAGCGTAATTTAGTTTATTTATACACTTAAAAATGTATTTTTAAATATATAAATGTATCTTTTACGATTTTAAAAATATAAAATATATAGATACATATCTTTTAAACTTCCAAAAATAAGTGTATATATACAACTTAAATTACGTTTCTAAAGGTATAAATATATAAATATATATAATATATATATATATATATATATATATATATATATATATATATATATATATATATATATGTTTTTAAAGGCTAAAATATATTTTTTAAAGATATTTATACACCTAAAAGGGTATGTACATCTTTAAAAACGTAGTTTTATGATGAAATATGTATTTGTAGACTCAAAATGAATTTTTTTAATATATAAATGTCTTTCAAATTGTATTTCTTCTTTCAAAATATAGAAAATACTTATTTGTATTAATAATCCAAAAAAAACTATATTTACATTGAAAATAGAAAAAAAAAAATCCGTATTAACACATAATATGTAATTTTACGTTTTTGGAAGTTTAAAAGATATGTACCTATATATTGTATACTTTCAAAATCATAAAACATATATTTATATATCTAAAAATATGAGTACTCTTTAAAAAAAATGTACGCTTTTAAGTCTATTAATACGATTTCGATGTAAAAATGTTTTTAAAGGTGTAGATACGCTATCAAAAATATATAAACCTTTGACAATGTTTTTTTAATATTTAAGAATGTATTTTATATCTTTATAAATATAATTATACCTTTGAAAATGTAATTAAAATAATATACACTTATAAAAAAAAAAAAATAGTAATGATGATGATGATGATGATGATGATGATGATGATGATTGTATTTTAAATTATTTCAGTAATATACAGTATATATTAAAATTTTGAAATATGGAACACAAAAAGCAATGCAACTTAGTTGTATAATCGTTGCTTTATGAGTTGGAGGGGATGGGTTCGAAACTCCCTTATCCCATTTTCCTTGTATGTTATATAAAGGAGTAAAGCAATAGTGAGCCACGTCATTGAGTCCGTCCCACTCATCGTCCACATGGCTCGCCAGCTATACAGGTTAATTGCTTAACCTCTAAAAGTGGCAAAACTGAATATTTTTTTACAAGTCTGCGGCATAAACGAACCAAAATTCCGTTAAAAGGTAAAACCGTAAATTTCAGAAAAACGTAAGGGTTTTTATGACATTATCCCTTGTTTTTTAGCAGTTCTAAAATTAATAAACCACGTATACCATTTAACTAGTTTTAATGTCTACCTTTACATTTTGTCATTTACAATAAAATCAAGAAAACATTTTAAATCGAACTAAATAAAAACCAACTAAATGCAACTTATAATTTATCATATTAATCAATTCAAGTTATAATTTATAATTTATATATTACTTTTGTTATAGTCAGTTCAGTTAATATGGGTTCAGTTCCCATATAAAACCGAAACCAAATCTAGTCCCGCTATGGATGAAAAATATAGATTTATGAGTAGCGTAGTATGTGTGTAACATCCTGAAAATTATGAGGTAAAAATTTCATTTTAATTCAACCAAGAAATTAATTATCTTTACGCCAAACATTCATTATCCTTTTTCTAAATATTCAAAAGCACTTTATAGGAAAACAGTTATCAGAGTACAATCCAAAAATCATCATAATGTGGAAACATGGTTGAATGCGCTGCGATCGAGCTGCGCCCTTCCCTTCCAAACCGGAAGTACCTGAAACTATAACTACAGAAACCGTAAGCACGAAGCTTAATGAGTTCCCCAAAATACCACATATATAAAACATACAAGTGCTATGGGCTACCCCCATGGTCTTTTCTCATAATTTCGAATGCCAAATCCCGGTCTTACATATATGAGTGTCATAGGCTACCCCTATGGTCTTTCCTTGCGATGCCAAGGGCCAAATCCGGGTCTTACACACAAGTGTCATGGGATACCCCCATGGTCTTTCTTAAAATTATAACAAATATAACAAGCATTCCACATAACAAGAAATAGGCTGACATTGGTGCCTTCGGCCCATGGATATGGTGAGAAAACTCATCTCCACCTGTTGAAACAATTAGATAAATATATGACTGTTCGTCCGACAATCCCCGTGATATCAATACCGATAACATCCAATTAATAATTAAATTCCAATTCGTAACCATCAATCTAAACTAGGGTAAAAGACCATTTTACCCTTTACCTAACTTAACCCAAGTTCAAGGCCCAAACCATCTACACAAAAAGGGCCAATTCCAAAATGGTCACCCAAAGCCCAGTTATGGCCCAGTCATCCAAAGTGGGCCCAAATACCTTCATAATCCTTCATCCAAAAGAACCCGCTATAAAAGCATCAGCCCAAAAATAGAAACCTGATGGCCCAAAATGAACCTAATCTCCTAAGGTGCAAACATGGGACGAAAATTGAGAAGCCCAAAACTGAAGCCCACTTATTGAGTACGCAAGGCGTACTCAGCTTGTACACTTAGCGTACACCCTCTGGGGCTAGTACGTGCAACCTACTAGCTTGGTACGCCCAACGTACTCCTCAGTTGGCAACCCCACTTCATTAAACACGTAATCCACTGAGACTTCAAGCCAAACTCTCATATCTGATTCTATAAGACCATTTATCACATCAAGTTGTCAACTTTACAAACATGCATGGCTTAATGGGGCTCAAGAGCTCAAAAAGAGCTTAACAAGGTATTAACACATGCATGGTTCAAGATACACCAAAAAAGCTTGCATTTTTTATGAACAAGGGAACCAAAAGAAGTCTAGATCTAACACCAATACTTCTGGAGTGAGTCAAGAAGCTCATCAAACACTCAAAGGACTCAAAATGCAAAAAATTACCACATAACTAGATCTAGCATCATGGATCGTCAAGATGTGAGCTTTTTACCTCAAAAAGCTTGCCAAAGATGAGCTAAACCTGAATATTCTTCTTCTCCTTCACAAACCACCAATAAACACTCTTTAAGGCTCAAAACTCACAAAAACACACTAGGGTTTCGATTTTTGAACAAAGAAAGGTGGAGGTTGGCTAAATGTGACCAAATGAGGTTATCATAAAGTTTAAATAGGGTGCAAACCCTAAAAATTAGGTTTTAACACATGCCCACGTGTGATGTGTACTCAACGTACGCCCCGCGTACGTGGTTAAGACTCATGAGCCAAAATTACACTAGTACGCCCATTGTACTCCAACTTTACTGAAGTTGGAAACTCTTCCCCTTTGGGACCAATTTTGGAAAACATTAGCACACCAAGGGTCTAAACTGAAAAGTACTTTGAATCGGGTGTTACAACTCTCCCCCTACTAAAATTAGATTTCGTTCTTGAAATCATTCCTTACCATCCCAGGTATGCCAGACAGCCTGAAAAACCAACCACAACCCCAATGCGGACTGAGTAAGCAACCCCAAGCATACAACAGCCTTCCAAATGAAACCATCCCCAAGCTTAGCAGGGCTCCCAAATCCTGACAATGAACGGAGCTGGAACACCCGAAATCTGAAATACTAATTATGGAAAAACAATGTGCAAATTGAAGGTCAACTCGTCGAGTATAAAGGGGATAACTCGATGAGCAGGAATAAGTTTGGGACGCAGGTTGAGAAACCTACTCGACGAGTTGGGGAGGACCAACTCGACGAGTTCGTCTAGGTTTGGGAATCCCTAAATTTGGGGTTTTGCACCATATTTAAGCATCTTAATCCCCTCCTAACAGCCTCATTTCCAGCCTCCAAGTCCTAAACCCTAATCTACGAAACCCTAGATCCTTGTGTGATTTGAAGCTTATAGAAGAAGAAGGAGCTAGAGGATTTCAGGAGAAGATTGTAGATCCAGCAACAACAACTCATCATCTTCACTTTCTGGTAAGCAAGCCTCAACCTTTCTTAGTAGCTTGTTAGATCTCTTTCTTATCATTTCATGGA